ATGTACATTTTCTTTTTTTACTATGTTGTACCTCCGTCCCATATAGTAAGGAAAGACGACCAGACGCTGCTAAATTTAGTAAGCTATCAGAAGAGTGTTTACCAACGACAAACTCGTTGGGTTTAAACTTCTGGCTGGCCACGTCTTAGGGTCGTCACTGCCCCACTAGGGGGGGAGTGATCTGTAGCGGTAAATAAATCCCCAAAATAAATAGCACTAAGTTTTCGACATTGGATGCTGACCATATGTTTTAGTGGACTCACCTAGCTGAAGGCGCTCGGTCAGGCATCTGCACCAGATCACGTGTGGTAACGCCGTGCTCAACATCAACCGCAATCGCTAGCCAGATTAGATCAGAGAATTCCGATATATTGGTCATCGCCAAATATACTCTTCCGATCTCCTCGACTCTGTCTTTTGATTTCTCTGGGCGGGAACGAAATATATTAGAAGGTGTTACTGGTAGAAGCGTTGTCAAACATTGAGTACCTGTGACATCATCAAAGTCTCCGTTTCAATATGAGAATATTTGTATCGCCTCTGAATGGTAACGTGATGTAAACTAGCTTTTTCGGTGGCATAAGCACCATAGATCTAGTTGTATTGCAACCCTTCCAGAGATTTTTGAACTTTAATGAATAACCATTATTCATTAACGTATCAGTCAAGAGCTTCGTCTCTACTTCAATAGTATCACTAGTACAAATATGATTAATTCTATTGAATAAGTCTACGCAAGATACACAACACCCATTGACCGGGTACCATCAGCAACAGTCTTCTGTGGGAGAGAACAAACCAGCGTCCAGCGGAAGTAGAAATTAGGAAAAGACGATGGAAATGGATAGGACATACATTACGCAAATAATCGAACTGCATCACAAGTCAAGCTCCAACTTGGAATCCTGAAGGAAAACGGAAAAGAGGAAGGCCAAAGAACATATTATGTCGGGAAATAAAAGCAGATATGGAAAGGATGAATAACAACTGGAAGGAGATGGAAAGGATTGCCCAGGACAGGGTTGGTTGGAGAATGCTGGTGAAGGGACTATGCTACTTCACGAGGAGTAACAGGCGTAAGTAAGTAACTATTGAATAATCCACGTTAATCCACGTTTGTAATGAATTGGGTTGTGACTATGAAAATTAAGATATTGCCCTGTCCATATTGACTTTCTATATTTAGAACGTTGGGTGAAACCATCATCTCGCCTACTAATCGTTATGTCTAGAAAAGGAAGCTGGTTGTTCTTCTCTTTTTCATGTTTTAGAAATGCAAACAACAATGAGAAGACAAAACATCGTTTCATACATTATTCTTATTCTACAGAACATAACGTCACTGGGCGAACTACATCTTTAATCCAAAGGAAAATCTGACACTCATCACACAACGAACAATATGTTGATGGGGGATGTTCCGAAGCACACATGCTATGTCTGAGCACAGTAGTTAAGTTCAGCTCGAAACTGATGATATATAAAACCATGAAGTAAATGTTAGAAATTTTCTTTTAAAAAAGATACTTCTTATTACTTCTAAGGCTAAAATGGACGTCCTTTCAAGAAACTTATAGAAGCCATGTTATGAAGAGCACAGTAGAATAATGGTAGGTGCCGAGCTATGCACCCATGTCCTTAGATGTCTCATCTCATGGAACTGCAAAAAATGTCTGGATATTAAGTAAAGTGAGTAGAGCCTTTATTTGTCCTAACAAACAACAAACTACAGAAAACAACTGTCCATAATTTTATGTTTATTCATCGTACAGGATAGTTTTCTGACACAGAGTTTTCTTATATATTGTTGAAGTAGAAAATCGATCAAAGGGTGATTACACTTGATATTTTGAATAAAAAATATTTCGATTTTAGAGCTCAGCCGGAAACGTAATTCAAAGGATGAAATTAAAGTTGACTCCCACAACAAATTTTAAGCAGTTATTTCTCGCATAATCTCTTGTTTCAGTGTTCTTAACACTTGCACTTTTAGAACCATTGTTTATACAGTTAAAACGCATATAGAATAAATGCACATCCAGCTTTATCTTCCCTATCATTAAATTTTAAGATCTGTCATGTTGCGTACCTAGATGTACTAATGATAATTATTGTTATTAGTATTCAGATTGCTGAGTGATGTTTGGGATTATTGACAGAACTATTCTGAAGCGCAAGCTGAAATCTAAAAAGCGTGTCTTTGCAATCATATTGTAGTTAACGTTTTGTCTAGCATATGAATGGAAAGTCGAGTATACTTGGTCCAGAAGATACACTGGTTTAAAAATTGACCTGTTTAAATAGAACAACATGGATAAATGTACAATCTTCATCATCTTTCACTGCAATATACAATAATATTTATATCCATGTTTGAAATTGTTAGACTACTCAAGGCATTTTATCAGTCAGTGTTAACAGTGTGATAGCTTGCAGAGACCAAATAACCAGCAAAATATAAAAATTTAAGAAAACTGGTTAGTGTACTATAAATAGCTTCAAATGGCCTAATTTTATCTATTACATAAATGCTTTCGATCGATTGTGATAGGCAGAGCTGTATATTAATTTCACGAATGGAAATGTTCACTAACTAATTGGCTCACTTGTCTAATTATGCACCCAATACAGCTTTCTCCAGGGCAGCGTTCGACAAGTAGATAGAAGAAACCATCTGAAGTGATTTGCCGTGCGTCTACGAGTTATTTTGAGGCCTAATCTCGTCTCTTGCATATAGCAGAAGCCAGTGGGACTAGAACTAACAACTCACGTTTTCGTATTCATGAAAATTTTGCTAGACCTCCACCTCTCCTTTTGCCGAATCAGCCTCAACAAAATATTTTGTTTTTTCGTTATTTTCCATCCTCGCTGTTATTATTATTCCACCCCTTTTTTCCGACACACGCCTTACCGTCAAATAATCTAAACACTTCTTATTGCGCAGTCTTGTAAGTTTGAACGCATGTTACTTCAGAGTCTATATTCTTCAATTCATTGACCAACTTCCTATTATGAAACGTCTATTCAAGCCTTTATTATTCTTGTCTCAACTAGTACATCTGTCATCACACTGTCAATTCGTACATTTTATCTGCTGATTTATTTCACTTCTACCAGTGACTGATAAACTGTCATGATTGACTTATTAGCTTCATATATGCATATAAATATTATTGTAGATTCGAGCAAAGCCAGTTGAGGATTTATTTTAAAAGTATGTCGTTCCCCTTTACATATTGATCTGGCGAAACGTACACATATCTACATTAGTTCCTGTCGATACTCCACTCCAAACCAGAGAACGCCACATGTGGCCGCGTTTCGTGAATAAATATATTGCACTTGAATTATTGCGTTTTAAATCTATAGCACGACAGATCTACTAGTTTTGTTACTGGCCATATTTTTCTGTAAGTAAACTGACAGTCACGTTTGGTATCTTGTATTGGTAATAAAGTTTTAGTGGATAGGGCACAGATACCTTTCATATAGAAAATATTCCGTACCATCATATACGGATCAATATCACGCAAGAAAGGTGGTTATTTTACAGTGCTCGGATGAATTCACCACTTTTAAAGAGTTGATTTGATTCTATAGTAAATATATGTGTTTTGAAAGCAAGGTCTAATGAAATGGTAGAAGGTTTGCTGCCCAACGTTGCCCTTGTGTGCCTCTTGATGTTGGAATATACAACGCGGAACGCATATATTTTTATGCTTTGAGATTAGTTTCACCACGTAAGTCACTCGGCTTCCAGATGGATGCTTGTACCTTATAACAGGAGAAATGAGTTTTTCTGACTCACAACAATCATGTACAGTGATTCACAATCTAAGCTTTATAATATGAATGATCGATGATTGACAATGTCTGTGTACTTGACATTTTACGGTTTCATTGGCGCAAAATCCGTTTGGATATTCCTGGTCAGTGAATATCATTACACGGCCTCAAGGTCACAGATATGATGGCGTCAAGCAATGAATCTAACCTATGAAGAGCTTAGAATGATATTACTTCCATGTGGCTCAATACTTTGGCACATGCTTATTCCCATAATATATACTCCTTGCATATTTCCTTCTACATTGCCAGTAGTTTCTTCAGGACCGAACAGTCGTGTGAAGAGAGAGCATTTGTTACACGTAGCTCTACATTCTTCTCCATTTATTATTTTATAAGGGTGATGGAGTAATTCTTGAAGTTTGGTTGCATGTAGTTATTTTCATTTCTTAAGGGGCAGGTTTTTCCTTTTTCCTTGACGTCAGGATGTCACGGGAAACATATGAATATGCTCCATGATAACTGGACTGATAATGAAATGGTGTTGAGTAGGTGGGACTTTCCCAGATATTCTTGTTCGATCTACGCTTTATTTCCTTACTAGCTCTGTTCCTCGCATAGGCGGAAAGTACAGAAAATCACTTGTAACACATCATAAAGTGAAGAAACATACTACTGAGGGAGAACATTACGTATTAGGAAGGTTTGTGTCAGGTATAGAATACTTCTAGATGAACATTACTTGTTATTTATGACTAATGTATCAATGCCAAGTACTAAATGCGCCTCGAAAGCACTTGCAGCGATATATCATTTTCCGTAGTTACTGAACTAGCATATTTTCAAATTTACCAAATAAGGATTACTACCTATTTTGATTTTGGGAGGAACTACTGTAGTAGATAAAGGTTACCTGTTATTAGAATAAAAATATTATGTACGCAAGCAAGTGATCAAGCTTACGTGAGATGAGCATTTAGTTTTTGCGGAATTACTTGGTAAACAGAGGACATAGTTGGGCTTCTTATAACTGGTGCAAAATGACATATTAAAAAACTCCAAATTGTTTAAAGAACGCAGAACATTTCAAATTTAGCAGACAGATAATACATTTACAATTTAACCTTAGTAATAACATGTTTATTTCGTATTCCAAACTGAAATGAAACCATGAAATTAGAAGTTATTTTTTTGTGTTTAAGCGTATCACTAACATTCATATTTGGGTCAAATAAGTTTATGTTTATCCGCGGCACTTCAGATTTTCTAATGAATCGTATTCATTTTTCTTCGTGCTACTTTGTCTCGTCATTATGTACGGTTTGTAGTTATTTTCCTATCGCTCATTGAAGCTCTAACCGAATGGGGTTTATGAAACATCTTGAGGGACCAGAACTATGATTTTCAGTTGGTAGTTAATGTTAGTAATTAGATTTAAGGTTTTCATGACGAACCGACATGAGCTATAATGCCAAAACTCCATTTACCCAAGTTGTTGAATGAAGTTTGCGCCAAAATCTGGGACCTGTTACCTTATACCTGATTGGTTCGTCCATAACTCAAGCTCCCAACTTTGGGAAATTTTTGGGTTTTTGTGCCATTTCCACAAAGCTAACTATAGCGGCTTCCCCGAAATGGGTCAAATTTTCTATAAAATTGTGAGCTTTAGAAATTATAGCCTCGCTGAATCATTCTTATGTCAAGACAGAAAATCTAACCATTAATTGTGGTTTTGCCAAACTATAGATGATTATCGGAAATCTGTAACAGGAGAATCGATGACAGGTTTTTGTTCGTAAGTATAACATGTATATTAGACTATGATCGGGGGAACCCTTGTACTATGAAAAATATAAGGGCTGAGTTTGCGTGTATGTGTATTTAAACTTAAAGCCAAAACGTTTTCGTGTGCACACACAGGAGAATGATGATACCCTATGTCTAATAGCTTTGCGGCAAATTATTATAAACTGATCGCTTTCTTTTGAATTTCATCTCAATATTATTCAAAGATTCTAGACATCATTTCTACCGCCCTACCATAATATTAGTGCATATTAGTGATCATGTATATTGAAAAAACATTCTAGTGGGGAAAAGAGTTATTTACAAAAGTCAGCACGCAAATAGCAGCTTGATTTGTCTGGTATCTGCCCCGTACAGTGTTAGTCTGTCTGTCGTTTTGTATTTAAATAAATCGAGAGCCGACTTAAATCCATTGTAGATTTTTCTGTAAACTAAGTTTAATTTACTACATGGATGTGGGATCACGTGCATGAAAAAGCAATAGTCCATTAGATATTTAATGGAACTGAATCTTCTCAAAAATCCAGCCAACTATATTATCCACGGTATCCAGAGAGTTAATAAAAATCTAAAATCGTTCACATGCTTTAGCTTTAAACGATGTGCCTTGCCCTTAACCTGGCCATTTTTCGGATTATTAATTTGACTATATACTTGTAGAACCTGAAGAGAATTTATCGAAAGAGATATTCCTCGTCCAAATATCAGTCTTCTGAAATCGTTCATTAAAGAACCTTTTGAAGAAGCAAACGTAATTGCTTCATAATCTCTACAAAAGTAGAGCATGAAAAGTTCGTCTTCACCATGGCTTCCGTTCTAGTGATCATTTGTAAGGTGAAATGCAATTGATAAGGTTGGAATAATGCTTTTCTGGAATAATTACCATATGAAAAAGTCTTCAAGCCTAATAGTCTACAAACATTTTAAAATTGAATGATGGGTTACCAAGCATAGCAAAAAGTCTTCTGAAATCACATCTACACCGTAAAAAGTAAGACGTAGTTCAGTCATACAGTTATGCACTAAAATTTCTGCATTCTGGGAAGTTGATTCAATTCAACGATTATTCGAGACATAGTGCAAGCTTATCTTCATACAAACCTGACATATCATACATTGAAGATGGTCCCTAGTCATTGTTAATTAGAATGTAAAGGACTAATATGCTGAACTCCTGAAATGAACTTTTAATAAACTGAAACCTAGACAAAAACAGTGCGAAAGTTATTATTACGTAACTTCATTAAATATGCAACTATCTGGAGCAGTTTCTTGACTGTGTAACTGAAGAGCACCTTTGGTTGTCAAAGATTTTACTCTGTCATTTTAGTAATCTTTGCCCTGGATGTTAGGGGTTACTAACTTCATGATATGTCTTCCTGTTTTGCTATATATCCCTGCGAGTTTTCTCATCGTGTCATATGGTTGTTTCATACTTCATTCTGTTCCAGCTTTTTCTACTGTCTTCTGCTTGTCGGCTCTAATGCTCCCCTTTACTCGTTTGCTTGCTTCAGTGTATTCAGTTTGTGCCTTGACTTTCCCTGTTCTTGTTCTTCCTCTGTTCAATCTTGTCTAAAGTTTCGATAGAAATCCATTCTTTATGATGATGCTTCTTGCATCCCAGAACTCCCTGACACATTGAAGTTAGTGCCTCTTTGATCCCCTTCCAGTTATTCTCCATAGTAGTTTCCTCTTCTCCCAGTAGATCTTTTAAAACTTGAAACCTGTTGAGAGCTATCTTGAATTCGCTGAGTTCGTTATTATCTCGAAGGAAGGCTGTATTGAACCTTTGTAATGCTGTTTGTCTAGTTGTCCCGTGTTTCTTTAGCTTCAGTTTTATCTTGGCAACCACCAGGTGGTGATCTGTATCTATGTCAGCTCCTCTCCTAGTTCTTACTTCTTCCATTGTCCTTCTGAATGTTTTATTGATACAAATATGTTCTCTCTGGTTCTCCGTGGTGTAGTCTGGTGAGATCCACGTAGCTTTATGCATGCGCTTGTGCGGGAGCATTGTACTGCCTATAACCAATTTGTTGGCCTGGTTGTTAGAAGGGGCATAAGTCTCATGACTTTCGAAGAATTTCGGCTTTCATCATGAGAAGTCATATTTCCTGCTTCAACTCTGAGAGCAGAGTTTAAATAGTTTAATATGATTAATCTGGTCTTCACTTTTTTTATCAAGATTTTTTTATACGCGACGGGGTTGCCAATCTCATGCCCCACCCTCCTCCTTTGTGTGGGCTTCGGACCGGCAGCAACTCTAGAAGAGCTACAGTTTGAGTTTCTCATGAAAGTAGCTTTAGTCAAATCTAACACTTTTCATCGTTTGAGTTTATGAAGTCATATTTAAAGTCCTGGCTTAAGTTCACTAGCTTGGAATGTTGAACCGATCATGTATTCTAGATGATGCGTAAATTTAATGAATTTTTCAGCTATAATTAAGAAAACCGCCAACTATTAACTTTATCAAGAACTACAAAGAACGTTTATTCAACCACTGTATAGCATCTTAGGCTTATATGATTCCAAATAGATAACTAGTTGCAAACTCATTATCTCCTAATATGTATCTCAAGGGAAATATTGTTAAGATTTGTAGCCAGCCTATGAAAATTTAAAAAAACACGAAAGATAAGAGAAAACAGTTACAGTAGCTCAATAAATAATCATATATTACTTTTTCCAGTTGTCTTTAGTGTTTATTTTACTAATTCTATTCACATTTCATCCGAGTCTCATTTGTTGACGAAAAATGATGAAGAAAATGTACAGATAACATGATTAATTTACTTATAAGCACAATAAAAAGTTCACTTAGTGTTTTATTGACATCTTGTGATTGAATTATTCTTATTAGCAGTTCATAGAGTACCAAGCACTTGGTCACTTTAATAAAAATTATTTGTTCCAACTATCTACATGTCATGCTGATAAAATTTTATTAAATGCATTAGTGTAGGGGATGATTCAATTGTGTTAGGTAGTACAGTTTATCAACAAGAACTGGTTTACTATTTTGCTATCTCTTAGTGGTGTAAAATTCAACATAAGACAAAAGAGATAAACGCATACTGTGAATTATTTTTCAATGATTATTGCCTGTTGAAAGATAATGTCTACAAATGAATTCTTTTAAATTTTGAAGTTATTTCCTATTTTCTATTTACAGAACCTTAATGCTTTATAAAATTTAATAAATCTTAATACACCTCCATTGTTACTGAAGTCAAGTTCAAAGAAATTGAATCAGTTGGCTCATACATTTCCATGATGCGTGAGAGTATCCGAAGAGGACCAGTTGTATGTGATAGTTCCTATCCTTGTTCCACACATGAAGTGTCATGTAAGCATTTTAAACCCTCATCACCATTTAAATGTCATAAGAAGTATGGGACTGGAAGAATGAAACTCTCATCCAAAATATGTCATAAAAAGGATACTGGAAAGTTAGTTTTCATTAATTTGACATGGTACATCTGTTTACGGTTAATTCATTTAATTTTGACGCAGTAGTTAGTGCTGATTTCCTCTTATATTGAGTGGTTTTGCTCAAGGCACCAAGTGCTCAATTTTACGCTATAGACTTGTATCAAATAGCATGAATTGAACATTCACTCCTCCCAGCCACACCATGTTATTTTCACTAAAATAAAACAAGGAAGAAAGCAAAAATTTAGAAAATCATAAAGAGCTAATCTATAAATAGGCTACAATCTCCTAGAGTGAATTTCATAAAATAATATAGACCAGTTTCTATAATTATAAATTCGTGGAGAATTATGGCTGATAGCAGTTTTTATCAAACCCTGTTCTCATTGCATTATTTTGTGCTAATCCCTTAAAGCATTATTCAGAATATTTCACTTTACCAGAAGTTTGTAATTCCGTTCCACATAATAAATCAATCTTCGTCTACACAGTTTCGTGGACATCTTAAAAATATTTGTCTCAGGTTTGTTAATAAGTTGATCTCATTGTTGATAATGAAATGACAGCAAAGCCCCCAAATGCCCTAGTACGGCTGAGAATGGGGAGGGTCAGCCCCCCTTCTCTCTCTCTCTCTCTCTCTCGAAATGCTCTCAGATGATCACGCGTATACAACCACTGTCAAGGAAGTCCTACTCACTGCCTTCTCACGGCGGGATGTTGTCTACGAAATCGAGAGAATGAAAAGCGAATGTTCGGCGCTTTAGCCGGGTTGGTGGACATAGGGGGTCTACCTAGGGAAGTTAGGGAACCCTGATTCCAAACCAATGGTGCACATGGGCTCCAGTATCCCGAGGGAACAAATGGCATGTGAACTTACGGTTGGTCACCGATTAACATGGGACTGAATCTCCCGACGTTATCTCAGACCTTTAGGTCGAGGGCTCCGGGAGTTTCCCCTCAGGAAAACCACCTGCTTCGTCCTAGGCACCCGTGAAGTATCACAGCCCACATACAAATCGAATGACGAAGTGTGGTGCATATGTATTCGGTGCCCCTTTGTATAAATATTGTGTTCAAATAAATAAATAAATAAAATCTCTATTCCATAATAATAAGTCACAAGTGACCAAATTTAAGGGAACTGGAACTTCAACAGATCATAAGTGAAACTAAAATGTACATTTGTGTAGTCTAATCACGTTTGTTATTAATAAACATATGTTAAACTTTTTCTTCTATTCAGACATGAAACACTTAGTAAAAACTCTTCAGAAATTTGTCAACCTGATAATATTCCTAGTAGTAACAGTGAGAATAGTTCAATGAATATGAATTCTGATGATAATACGAAAGAGTGTGTACTGAATCCTATTAATATGGACGATTGTAGTATTCTTCAACATGAACAATGTAATGACACACAATCTAACCAAAGTATCTTTTTCGATTTATTATCTAAACTTGAAAGACATTTAGATGAAGAGAGAAAAGCCGTAAGTTTGTATGCAGTATGCATTATAAAAGTAAAACATGTGTTGTTTAAATAGTTATATTCTTTTGAAGGCTCTAGACTTTATGGAAACAGTTCTGTGTGAATAGATCATTTTGTGATGAACAAGATAAGTACAGCATTAAATATCAATACTAAACTCGTTGAATCTTGTTCAAACCTCTATTTCAACATGATTGGATGACATTTTATAAACCTTATTTATCTTTGATAATTTTGGTTCTAATTATTTTGCTGAAGAAGCTCGAGCCAGTTCTCCATGTGAAACGTTTAAGTTATTCAAATCTCAATATTCGTGATTACTTCAAATATTATGTTTACATCTAGTTTCTTCTACATATTTAGGGCCCAGGTTCTATCGAATTTTATATACGATTACAACAAGGTTTTCATCATCTTCTACATCATATATTTTATTCTTAGGTCAAACAGTTTGTGGAGATTAAATAACGCTGTAGATATTTTTCATCACAAACTATTATTGAGCAGAGAATTATCATAAACCAATGAGAAATAGATAGTTCTCACATTTTACTTAGGAACTCTTAAGCAATGAATCCCTATGACTCTAAGGAATCGGACCTAAGACCTCCACGCTACATGACGATCATTTTATTTTTAAACTATTAGATAAAAACCTAATGCTCTATATTTTCCAAATTCAGTAAATTTGTAAAGCAACACAATATTTACTCATATTTATCATTAGCAAAAACATAAACAAAGAAAAAGGGAAGTTCCTCGAATACAACAAAGAGAACAACAACCTAATCACACTTAACGGAGAAGCTTTTGAAGAAATGGAGGCTTTCACGTACCTGAGAAGCATCATCTATGAACAAGGAGGATCGGATACAGACGTATAGCAAGGGCCGCATTCCTACAGTTGAAGAAAATACGGAACTCGAAACAACTGTCAACCAATATCAATGTCACAATCTTCAATATGAACGTCAAGACATTTAGTTCTGCTGTATGCAGTTAAAACTTGGAGAACCACTAAAACCATCATCAAGAAGGTACAATTATTTATAAACAGTTGTCTACGTAGCATACACATGTCGAATGAGATTTGTGTGGCGCATATGTATTTGGTGCCTCCTTGTACCAATATCTATGTGTTAAAATAAATAAATAAATAAATACTTAAATGTCGATTTGCCGGATACTATCAACAGAAACCTACTCTGGGAGAGAACAAACTAGGCTCTAGCTGAGAAGGAAATTAGTAAAAGACAATGGAAATGGATAAGACATACATTACGGAAGTCATCAAACTATATCACGAGGCAAGCATTTACATGGAATCCTGAAGGGAAGCGGAAAAGATGAGGACTGAAGAACACACTGCGTCGGGAATTTAAAGCATATATCGAAAGGATAAATAGTAACTGGAAACAACTGGAAAGGATTGTTCAAGATAGAGTTGGATGGAGAATGCTGTTGGGCGGCCTATGATCTTCGACGAGGGTTAACAGCCGTAAGTAAGTAAGTCAGTATCACTATCAAATTACCGCCTGAAATCTGACGTGACTACAAATTTGGTATTAGAACTTCAAAAAATTCGTCTTTCAGTATGTCACCATTAATCTCATAATCTGTATGACTTACTTGGAAGGGTTGGTTATCATGAGATTTTACACATCATAAGTGTGTTTAATATCATAAAACATCATCAAACGAATAATCATTTGAAAACTAATTTCATTCTAGTTTATGACTTATAGTAGTACCTAAACATATTGATAAACTGATTTGTTTTTTGTTGCGATGTGCTTAACTTATTTGTTAAGAAAGAAATGTTTCAGTCTCAGAATTACAAACTTGTCAACACCAGACAATGATACTGAGTATTATGTAAACGAAGAATATAATTTAAAATAAGCAGAAATTCCAAACAGGAATACAATTACTTGCTTACTAAACATTGTGTTTCATCCTTAGTATCGAAATATATTTGAAATGCTGCATTCTTTTTCCTTTTCTTGTTTTGTTTTATTTTGCTATAATTACAACAAATAGAAGTGATTGACTGTGATTGGTTTTTATAATAAGATGGGTAGAATTCTGAGAAACTCTACGGTAGAACTTTTTGGAAGTAATAATGGTGAGAATATAATAGATGAACGATATTTGAGCGAAACCAAAGTGACCTTGATAGTATCTACCTACTTACGAGGGCTAAATGAGGATTATAAAACAGTTTAAAGAATAAGGATTATCATTTACAGTTGATGATGAGGATTAGGAATTAGATTCAGGATTTCCATCACAAACTGACATCAGCTAGAATGCCAAGATTCTATTTAGCGAATTGAGTGAATGAATTTCACACCAAAATCTAAGACCTGTTATCGTAAATCTGATTGGTTCGTCCATAAATTCTAATCTCGCAGACATTATAATTAATGGCTATAGGAACATTTTAGGTCAGCTTATATTTTCAAATAAAGACGATCTATAAAAGTGTGTAGTGTTGGTTGCTATGTTAAGCCCATATAGTTTATTCTAGCTTTTGTACAGGCCAATTTATCCATTCTTCTTGAGTCACATTTTGACCTTGTTAATTATCCACTTATCAACCTTGACTGTTTTTATATGAGCATAATCTTCTGAATTCTTCATGTCCCTTTTTTTTCTTTCCAAATTTATTTCACTGGATTATAACATCTTCAAACCCTAATGTTTCCGATTACTGTTTATACTTTTACTACATCTACCACTATGTGATTTGAATTGACAATTGTATCTCTGTGCTAATGTAATATGGTATGGCAACTCGAATTGATGTACGTACGTACGAAATTCTACGTTGTTAATGACTGATTGACTGACTGACTTATATGAGCATATTTGTGTGTACATCTCATCCTACTCATCACATGTCGGTAGCTTACTTTTTTGTGATTATTAATATTGACTAAATGAAGTAGGCTCACATTCCTTCTCCACCGCGTATCATTTCGCTTCTCCCTCTTCGTTTCATTCCTCTGATTGTTTGTCCAGATCAATGATTGTACAAAATATACGTATTCAAAAGTTCATTCTCGTATTTGACTTACTTAATTTCGTTATTTACTAACGTGATTTAAGTTGATAATTATACATAAGAGGATTGGTGAAATGTATCTTTCATTAGGAATTATTCATAAGATCTAATTGGAGTTATATACAGGCTTCACAAATTCTCAACTGATATTAATTTTAAAGTATAAATTGTGTTATATCCGAGCGAAGACTAAATCACGAGTAACTTCTGAGACATATTGATTGACTAATATTATCTATACATTCTTATGATATAACTATTCAACAAGTAGATTATGTATATTTATATTCCTCTTATTATAAGCTTTATTTTGACCTATAATTTATTATTGTACGATTTACGGTTCTTAATCTATGTTCAGTTTGTTGACGACTGTCTCCCACGTTCACAGCCACATTTGGCCAAATACTGTACAAATATTATTTTCTATTTTATGGTACATTATGGTCTGTCTGGTTGATATATATATATATATATATATATATATATATATATATATATAAACCGAGTATTATAAGCAAAGATGGATAGTGGCTAGTAGTGGAATCCAGGACGCGAGTTTCGTCCTGTCTGGGACTCGTCAGTTGGATGTACCTCCATCTCAGATTTGATGTTCACTTTGGGACTCGAACTCAGTACCGTTCGCTTCAAACGCCATCGCGTTATCCAAACCGAGTATGTTTGAAATAAGTGGTTCATATTGAGGAAGCTGGTATTGGTGTTCTGGACTCAAGTGGACGGGCTAGGTGGACATAGGACCAATAAGGACGCTAGGCTGCTCATACCGCTCGAATGTCATTGGTTTGACACAGTGCGAAGATTGTATAAGTCGTATTTTGATTGATGGATAAATCACGTGACAAGAAACCGGATATAAACACATAAGAAATTTTCTTTTTTTTTCCTTTTATTAGAATGCCAAATTACAAGTTGAATTAATGAATAAAACTGAATATGAAAAACAAATATCTGATCTACGATCCAATTATGAAACTGAAGTATTTCGTTTACAAAATGTGATAACACGTTTACAAGTAAAATGAAAACAAAAACGATTGTTTTTCCAGATCTATTTTTGTCAAACTATTTCATCTATTTATGATGATTAGATACAGTATTTAAAGGGTACTTTTTTTAGTTGTATATCTTTCCTAAACAATGATTCTATTTAAGCCTAAGTAAATTGTACTATGCTATAACAATGATGAAATAAGACTGTTGATAATGAATGTCAGTCAGTCAGTCAGTCAGTTACAGCGTAGGACCAGACACATATATGTGCATCGGTTCAAGTTGCAATACCTCATTAGCACAACAAGATGAATACTGAATCCATAAAGTAGTTAATTCAATGGTGGTAATATATGAAAGAAAGATCACATATAAGGATGTAGTACAGGAAGAAATATTTAATGCATAGAAAGAAAGATATGAAGGGATTTTAATCTCATAGATCAAGGGCAATTGGTGTCACCATCTTGAAACACCGACTTCGGTGGCTTGGACATGTTCTACGAATGTCGTCCGAAGAATTCCACGTCGTGCATTGTTTGTCGACTCTGGGACTGGTTGAAAAAAGCGGAGAGGTGGTCTGTGTATGACATGGTGCCATGGGATGAAAGAAAGCTGCAAAGGGCTGGCTTCTGTTGGTCCTTCACATTTCCCTGGTTGGCGTCTTAGAGATGGTGCGACACAGTGGCTAGAGACCTTATCAGATATGGCTCAGAATAGGAGCCAGTAGCGATCCTGCTGTAACTTTCTTTTACTTTCTTCATAAAAAGTGGCTGCTTCTTCCTTAACTAAAAGATTTCTTCTGATTGCACCTTTTCGTTTCCCCCATTATTATTACTACACTACCTTACACTAATCTGTACGCCAAATAATATACACTGTTATTATTACGAAAAAAACAAAAAAAAGGAAGGAAAAAGGTGAAAATAAAGATCTGAAACTGTACAGCTTCTCAAATAGAGACATGTTTAAAAATTCAGGTTATTGAATAGGTCAACTCTAACCACCTATTCGTCACACAGTATATTTGCTAGGTAAGGTATCATAGAACTTTTATACTTTTGCTTGTGTGCATGGATTTTAATGTAATTACATCTCGTTCTACCAGAAGATATACAAGGAGAACGATATGAGTGAATGGGATGGTTAGTATCTGATAAGATAACACCTGCTAAGAGTTTTCAAGACTTTAGATGTCTATCCACGACCATATTAATAATGACCTCAAAAGATTCACCATACACCTTGCTATCTGTCTTCATAACTCTCCGCAATATAACCGTTTTTCTCAAAATCCCGGGAAAGAATAATGGAGAACAGTAAAGAATAATAGGTAATATGCAGTAATTGACATATTGTAAGCGTAAATGTCGAGTAATCCCAAAAGTAAGCAGCCTCTTTATGTAGTAAGTCAAACGGAAAACTTTCTGCGGTAACAGAAAAACATGAGAAGACCAAGAGAGATCAGAGGAAAATGTAACACTAAGGTAATGAACCTTCAACACCGTGTTAATCGAATAGTCTCCAATGGCACAAGCATTATGGAATCCCAAAATGGTATTTGGATGCCGTTCATGTCTCATGCTAAAGTTAACAGCTTGACATTTAGACGGATTAAGTATGAGGCCATTAACAACAGACCACCATTCCATCCGAGACAAAAACTCATTTCTACGGGATGTAAAGAGGTGGAAATCAGCGTACATACAGTAAGATCATCCGCATATTTCACAAAAGTGTTTTCTATGAAAGATGGCAAATCATGTCGAAAAAAAGAGAAAAGAAGAGGTAGAAGAACGCCTCCTTGTGGTACACTTCAATTAGTTCCTTATTATCTTACAGTCCGGTCGGTCGGTCGGTCTGTCTGATCAGCATAATGTTAAGCAAGTCAGTCAACTACGAGTATCCTATTCTAAAGAAATAAATTTCAGTCGTTTAGGTTCTCGAAAATCATAAGACTTTTTGATATAGATCAAAGCTACTCTTAAAGACCAAAGCATACTAATCTAATCCTAATACTTTTAAAATACACAGTCCTTTTAATGTTATTTCATTCTTATTCAATCTCAAATATTCTACTTAATTTAGGCTTACATTTCTAAAATGATGGTTAATATTGATTCAACACACTTTTGTAACAAATATCATCAGATTTATGGTTAATTTATACATAATCTACTTATTCTGTTCTACCTTATTCAATAGCTCTCTTTAAATTAAAACCAGAATTTATAAGTAAACTGAATTCCTTATTTCAATGTAAATAAAGATATAGCCCTTTCGGTCAATGCTATATCATGGTATATTCCTTCGTGTGGTTGCTTGAAATGATTAACTTACTTACTTACGCCCGTTACTCCTAATGGAGAATAGGTCGCCGACCAGCATTCTACAACCCAATCTGTCCTGGACCTTCTTTTCAAGTTCCATTCAATTCTTGTTCATTTTTCTCATGTCTATCTCCATTTCCCGGCTTGATGTGTTCCTTGATCTTCCTCTCCTCCTTTGACCTTGAGGATCCAGGTGAGGGCTTGCCTTGTGGTGCAGTTGAGTGCTTTCCTCAATGTGTGTCCTATACACTTCCAGCGATTCTTCGTGATTTCCTCCTTCACTGGAATCTGGTCTGTTCCCTCCCACAGTAGGCTGTTGTTGATAATGTCCGACCAACGTATCCGAAGTATTTTACGTAGACAACTGTTAATAAACACTTGTATCTTCTGGATGATGGCTTTCGTAGTTCTCCAGTTTTTCGCTGCCTACAGTAGAACTGTCTTTAAATGTGTATAGAAAATTTTGACCTTGATGTTGGTTGACAGGAAGTTGTTTTGAGTTCCTGATGTTCTTCAATTGTAGATATGCTGTTCTTGCTTTACCGATCCGCTCCTTCACATCTACATCAAATCGACCCTATTCATCAATGATACTGCCCAAATATGTAAAGGTTTTTACATCTTGCATATCTTCTCCGTCAAGTGTGATTTGATTGATGCATGTTGTGTTGTATCGGAGAATCTTGCATTTCCCTTTGTGTATACTGAATCCTACTGCTGTCGAGGCTGCTGTTACACTGGTCTTCTCCTGCAATTATTGTTGCAAGCCCTCACTTGGAAATGATTTAGCTTTTAGTTATAATTACTTTTATTTTAATGTCATAGTTGATATTCTTGCAATTCAATCAATTAAGTACTCTGCTAACTACCAGTAATATTTACCTTGCACATCAATGCTCCAATATACTTCACTTCTGCTGACTTTATATGAAATGTTGTCATTCTTAGCTGTTATTTATGTTAATGAATGTATAGGTGTTTGAATCCCATATAAAATCTGGGTTTTTAAAGCTACATTATTTGTTTTGCACTCGTTTATCTTGGTTGTATCATATGTACAATTACGTGTGAATCAATCTTCTTGGTTGAAATATTTTTTGACAATAATAATATTCTACTTTAATAAAAAACAAGTAGTACAATGTTGTATATGAAATTTTACTGACTATATGTGTTTTTCAAATATTGTTCAACTTTTCTTTTACGAAATAGGGCAATTCACATTATAACGATAAAATAAGTTATGATGATGAAAAACTAGCCAACGTAAATACAGAAGTTAACGAAGTGAATGTTAAAAGGAATAATGATGCAGAATCGAATACTGACAAGTGTATTAAACCTGTGCAAAATTTCACTAGTATGGATGAACTGAAAAAAGAATATGCAAAGCAAGAATTATTAATTGCAGGTTATCAACGTGAAAATGAAAAGTTATATGCAACTGTTAAAAAATTACATAAAGTTAGTTTGTGTTTTTTCTGTCAAAAGTATGTCGTCTATTGTTATATCCTTTATCCAGATAATTTATTAAGGCTTACAGGTTTTCGATGGTGATCTAACACCAATCAGTTCATGACCTCAATCGAAAACTTATTAATCTCCACAATCCCATATTAATAATCACCATATGTTTACTAGTGAACAGCATCTTGAGGGAGTTCTCGGAGTTCTAGTGAGAAGCCGTGACCAGTGGAGCTAATCCATGTTGGATAGCGACAGGTACCTACTTCAGTACAATGGAAGATGGTTGTGCAATTTCGTGGATTGGTTGACATTAGACACTAACACCGTTGAATGCCGGCTCAGTGATCTAGAGGTTAAGTGCTCGCGCCCGAGACCAGAGGTCCTGTATTCAAATTCCGCGAGCGGGATCGTGGATGCGCACTGTTGAAGATTTCCACAATACAGCGAAACGGCCGTTCAGTGCTTCCAGATTTTCACTGGTGGTCTAACGGTTCATGATCCCAATCAAAAAAATTATTAGGTCTCCTAACTGTTCAAAGAAGTACTCATTGAAGGTTCAACACATCTTCAGTTGTTATAACCATGGAAAACCAGTAATCTATGGTATTGGTTCTTTCAGTAACAATTGATCCGGGCAACGCAAAGAGGAGGAGGAGACTGATGGCGGAGAAATATTTTACTCATCATCAAAATTAAAAGCATGAGAATAACTCTGTAATCAATATGTACTTATTTATGCACTGATTTTACTGACATTTATTGATTAATCACAAACTGGAGAAATACAAAAATGTATTTTACACTAAAGTAATTCAAAACCGAATGAAATTCACATTAAGTTATTACAAATATATCATATATCACACTGAAATTAAACAAATATTATATTAAGCAATTAGTATACTAAATGACTTAGTATTCTTATCTTATCTTAACATATTTCATATTACAATAATTGAGATCACGAGTCAATTGAAGCTAGACTACCATGGAAAACCTGGAAGTACTGGATGGTCGTTTCGTCTTATTGTGGGACTCCTCAATTCAACCAGGTCTGTTGTGAGATAGTAGCTCACTGATGACAACGATGGATGTGTCGTGGATTAGTTGAAGCTAGATAATAACACCGTTGGATGCCGGCTCAGTGGTCTAGTGGTTAAGCGTTCGTGTACGAGACTGATAGTTCCTGGGTTTGAATCTCTTCCGTGGGGGATCGTGGATGCGCACTTCTGAGTAGTCTTACAATAGGACGAAATGATCGTCTATTGCTTCCAGGTTTTCCATGGTTTTATGCTTCAATTGACTCATCATCTCAACTATTGAAATTACTACATTCCCCAGAAAACACCTGATACATTTCATATTAGTTTGTTTCTTATCCCTTCCTTTTTTTAAATCTAGGATAAGCAAACTGAAACCGAAGATTCACAGACAGCAAAACGTCTTACTACTGAAAATCTTTCTTTAAGAGTTGAAGTTGAACAATTAAATAAAGAATTAGAATTGCGTAGTCAACAAATATGTACCATGTTATCTGGGAATTCAAGATTGAATCAAGGTAAACCGAATTGCATTAAGCATAAAATTACAGTTACTTGGTAAAATAAAAAACCATGTAGTAAATCGTTAATTTGCAAAATATCATTTCATCATATCAAACCTGACTGTTGCCGTTGCAAACATCAATCCATTGTCTCACATTTCATTGTTCGTTCGGTTTCTTACAAATTCCATTGTGTTCTCGCTCTTCCTTTCTTGATCTTCCTCCATCTTCTGTGGCCAGACATTAAGTTCTTTACCTCGCGTTATATACTACTTATATCAATATAAGTAGCACGCACCAGAATAGTAGTTACCCTATGATCTATGGGAAAATACATTGAATGTTGAAGTCCATTTTTATATTTTCTCTTAAAAGTTCAGTTTTGCTTATAATCAATGAAAAGATTCATTATCAAACTGTAACCGAAATTGTATAAATTCAATTCAGCAAAGATGCTCATATTTCAGAAGAAATATAATTCTTCCGTAAATAATTCTCTGTTTTATTGTCTCCTTTTTCTCTATAGGTAATCAAGTCTATAAAATACCATTGTGATTAGAGTAAAGATACAATTTATTTGTTAAAACATTCTTGAGCCTACTTTGGTTTGTATATACAAGTAATACCAATAATTTCTAATGTACAAAACATGTAGCTCGAAGTTGAGTACAATAATTTACATTCAATTAGTGACTTACATTGCACTGATGATACGTTGAAAAATGGGCAGAATAAATGCAAACAAATACCTAATGAAAAATGATAGTCCTTTCAGGTTCACTAACAATTTTGTGAATCCATAATAACTATCCTATTTTCCAATAAACAACTATATATATGTATACCTGTTACCTCTCGTGAAGGAGCATGGAGTGCTCATCAGCACTCTCCATCCAACCCTATCCTGCGCAATCCTTCCCAGTTCCTATTCATCCTTCTCATATCTGCTTCTAATTCTCAACACAATGTGTTCTTTCTGTCAGTCAGTCAGTCAGTTACAACGTAGAACTTCGTATGTACGTACATCAAATCGAGTTGCCATACCATATTACATTAGCACGGAGATATAATTGTCAATTCAAATCGCATAGTGGTAGAGGTAGTAAAAGTATAAGTAGTAGTCGGAAACATTAGGGTTTGAAGATGTCATTCAAAGAGTATAATCCAGTGAAATAAATTTGGAAAGAGAAAAAAGGAACATGAAGATTTCAGAAGATTAGAATTTAGGAGAACACAAAGAGTGGATGCACCTGTGCCATTGCAAACGATTTTGAGCCATGTCATTCAGTGTCTCTAACGATCGGTTGCTATCATCTCGCGGATCCTAACCAGGTAGTCTACACCTACCAACCTGGCTTAGTCCAGTTGTCAGTGACTTCATAGATTTGTGCAATGTTTTGGTCTGGTTGGTGGTTGGGTATACGTAACACGTGTTCCAGCCATCTTAACTGATTAATGTGTTCTTTGATCTTATTCTTTTCTGTTACCCTTCAGGATTCCAGGTTAGCGATTTTCTCGTTATGTAGTTTGTTGATTTCCACAATGTATTTCCTATCCACCTTCGACGTAGATATGGCCTTAAGTCACAAACACTATAAGCAGAGATGATAGTGACTAGCAGTGGAGTTCAGGATGCGCACATACATCAATAAGAAACTGATCATTTACCTTCTTAAACATCAATGGAATGATTTAAACAACCAATGAAGAAATAAATTAAATTTTACCCCATTACACAATCTAGTAACTAAGTATATAACACAATGGCGTTTGAACCAAAGGTTACAGAGTTCGAGTCCCAGAATGAACACCAACTTTGAGGTCTAGGTACATTTCGCTGACGAATCTCAAATAGGATGAAACTCACGTTCTAAATTCCATTGTTAGTTACCATCATCTCTGTATGTGAACTATGTATCAAATTTACTTTTGTATCACAATAATTAGAATGGAATTTTATGAATATTTAATCATAAAACAGTAAATTGTTAATAGTGAGCATAACAACCATAATAATGATCATGATAAATATTGATCATATCAGACATATATTTAATTTTTCGTCTTATATTTATGACAGAAAATCGAATAAATGAATTACAAGAACTGAATAAACAATTGGATAATGAAAGAAATAAGTTAACAAAAGAATTAAATGATACACGTTTAGAGTTGACAAACATGAATTTAAAAGTAAGTGAATATCATGTTAAAGTCGTACAGTTTTATTCGCCTGTATGGGTGTGTGCACGTTTGTGTGGAGATATATGTAGATGAATATGAGTACTGACCATTTGAGATGAACTAGTTAACTATTGAAAATTAATGAATTCTAGGCAGATCTAGCTGATGAGTCCCAAATTGGACGAAACGCACGTCCTGGATTCCATTGCTAGCCACTATCCATCATTACTTACAAATAGCTTGTGAATTAAGGTAATATCGATGCAATACGCACAGGATGCACATATACCAGTAAGAGACCGATCAATTGCAGTCTTAAACATCAATAGGAAGATTCAAGTAAAACAATACCAAGTGAGTTCTAGGCAGATATTTGATATTTATTATTAGTACTTAAGTGCGCCTTGTAGAGGAGTATAGGCCACCCCTTGGCATTCTCTATCCAATACTGTACTGAACAATCTTTTCGAGTTGTTATTCATCCTTTTCATGTCTACTACCAATTCTCGACTCAGTGTGTTCTTTAACCTTCCTCGTTTTCGTTTCTTCTCAGAATTCCAAGTTAGGGCTTGCCTCATGATGTAGTTTGATGATTTTCGTCCTATTCATTTCTAACGTCTTTTGTTATCTACCACCATCTGGCGAAATAACTACCCTGTAAGCCTCGAATGAAAATTATTTTCAACCATGAAACATCGCACGTTGGGGCAGTCGGTGGTTGGGCATACGTAACACGTGTCCCATCCATCTCAACTGATGAAGTTTCGCTACTTCATCAATTGATTTGCCACCCTCATCTAGTACCCATTTCCTAACAACTGCGTTACTTACTCGATGGTCCCATGATATACGAGCAATGTTTCGAAGACACCTATGATGAAACACTAGTAACCTATGAATATCCTCTACTCTGACCGGCCATCTTGCTATTTAATACCTCAAATTATATACACTTATATACTTTTGAGATGGTAGAAAAGATTTATACCTCAGGTGGATCATTTTAGTGGAATTTATGTTCTTTGATCTGGATGGTTTGATCATAGAGCTTTTATTGTTCTTCTGAACAACATCATCAGTACAAACATCAAATAAACTTCTACCTGAAGTTTGTGTTAACGATGTTGTTCAGAAGAACAATAAAAGTTCCATGAGCAAACCATCCAACCCAACGAACAAAACTCCATCAAACCACACATATACATACTACATTTAAGCTCTTATAAGTAAATAAATATAAATAAATATACCCTGTCGACTACCTCCAACTACCATCTAATCTCAAAATAGTGCACGCAGTGTCGAGTCACCTAGGCTGGTGGCCAAATTGTAACACGGTCGATCGCATTCAGTCTGCACTAATAAGGATTAGACACGCATGACATCAATCGCCATCCAGTGATCAATCAATAGTGATTACATCTCAGTCCTACAGGAGGTCGGTCACTGCTTGCCTAGCTCAGTGTTAAAGTCTCTGACTGTGAAGTTGGGTGACACGAGATCGAATCCGCCAGGGAGCACCAATTCCCTCAAGATTACAGGTACACCTGGCTGACGAGTGCCAAGTAGCACGAAACCCGGGTCCAGGGTTTCCTGTCGACTACCTCCAACCACCATCTAAATATACCCTTTTTATTTATTTCTAGATGAATAATCATATACGTGAGAAAAATGATTTATTAGAAAGATATGAAAATTTTAAAGAAAAATCTCAAACAGATTGTACAAATATGAAAGAAACATATTTATGTCAAATAGAAGATCTTCAAAAGAAATTACGTTGGTATATTGAAAATCAATCAATAATCATTAAAGATTCAAAGAAATTACAAAATCAAGTAGATTGAAACAATTTTATTTCTATATGGAATAAATTGTTTAATGATGATTTGTATCGTGTATTGATTTTTTGGATGAACAACTATCATGTACTTGTTAATGATTAGAGTTGAATAGTAGTTGTGGTGGTCGGTATTCAATGTAATCCGTAAACTTCGTATACAGTTCGTCTTGATAACCGTCACTAGATAACACACCAACGGTATATTAATCAGAAGGCGAATACGAAGTGTTGATTATGTTTATTATGGGACCACACACACAGATATCCAAAATTACAGGTGCGTCAAACAAGCATGAAAGAGTAGTGCAGATAGGCAAGCAGGTAAGCGAGCGAGCGAGTGAGGGAGTCAGCGAATATGAGTACGAGTAAGCGAGTACAATTAAACGAGAGAGAGAGAGAGCAAGGAACATGAATAACATGGACATATATATATACATAGTGAAATGAATGAATCATTAAATCCAGTAAGCACTTAATAGTAAGGCTAGCAACGTTAATAAATTTGTAGCCAGTAAGCAATGCTGAAGCATACATGTTCATACATTCGCAACAATAATAAAGATACAATGATATAGATAAGTTGTTGTTGTTGTACGGATGACTCAGCTCGTTAATAAGTTAACAAAATGACTTAACCGAATGTGAACCAACTCAATCCCACGTGAGTTGCTATATATTCTTTGATGACAAGTTATCTTCAATGAAATTCCAGTTGACAAATGAAGGCATCATATTGATTATCGATGAAGTTCAACAATATGTCGAATGTGAAACTGTTATCAATGAAATCAAATATAAGTTGTTAGATGACGATTGAGGAATCTAAAGAGGATCTATTTATCATGTAATCTGCCGATCTTTGTTTTGCGGTCCTGTGTACACGATACTAAGGAATTCTATATTCAGATAAAACAATTTCGAAATTCTTCCAGATTTTTTTAAAAATTGACCTTCTGGTCGAATTACCTGTTTTAATAGTATGCTAATCTTCCAGGTTTTCTATGGTGGCCTAGCTTCAAATGATTCATGATCTCATCAAATGAAATTACTATAATGTCCACAAAAACCAATTCTGATATTAATCAATATATGCTCATTAGTGACTGGCTTCAACAGGTATATTCTAGTGAGAAGCAGTGACCAGTGGAGTTCAACCTGGTCCGTTGTGAGGTAGTAACTCACTGATGACAATGATGGATGTGTCGCTGAATTTCATGGATTGGCTGAAGTTAGACAATAACACTGTTGGATGCCGGCCGGCTCAGTGGTCTAGTGGTTAAGCGCTCACGCACAAGACTGATAATTCCTGGGTTTTAATCTTTTTTTGTGGGAGATCGTGGATGAGCACCGCTGAAGAGTCCCATAGCAGGACGAAACGACCGTCCAGTGGTCCCAGTTTTTCCATGGTGGTCTAGCTTGAATTGACTCATGATCTCAACTACTGGAAATGGAATTTGATAATTATTCTTAGTGATCCAATATTAATATAACCTGATCAGCAACAATAATTACTACTAATTATTATAAATATCTCAACTTTATAGAATATGAGATGGACCCTGAATAACGTTTAGGTAACATTTCTTCCTTTGAAACTGTTACATCGCGATAAGAATGATGAATGATAAATTCTGAGACCCATTTATACGGACCAATACTATACCTATATTTTTTTTATCGTATAATTGTCAAGTAACTAAACTATTCATATTTGTGTCCCTCTTATTTTGACCTATGAACTGTTATTATACTATTTATCATTATTGAGTTATACCCAGTCTATCAATTACTATCTCCCACATTCACAGCCACATTTGACTAAATCTTGTACAGATTTTATTTTGTATTTTATGGTACGATGTGATCTGTTTAGTTTGTATATAAACCCACTATGTTTAAAATACATGATTCATATGGAGGAGGCTGAGATTGATGTTCTGAACTTAACAGGCAGGGCTAGACAGGAAGAAGGACTAATAAACCCTCTAGACTTTTCGTATAGGTTTTATGCTTGATTAGTCGGGTCGATAAATCACTGTTCAATAATTGACTGTATCATTACATTATAGATTGTTAAGGACACAAACTCATAAATTATAACAGAAACTATATGAAGTAAGTTTAGTCCCATGATATGTGAAATGATGCATTTGATGTTTGAGTTTTATTTCATTAAATCACTTCATTCTAACAAATGTTATCACTTATTTCTTATATATCTCCATAGTATGAAGATCGTATACAATCATTAGAATCATATATCAACTCATATTGTATTCATAATCAAACTTATTCACCTTTATTATTATCTAATGATGAAAATTCTATTTTAACATCAAATAATTCAAAAAACCCAGAAATTTTACAAAAATCATTAAAACAATTAAAAAATTCTAATCAATCAATAATTCTTTCAAATTTATTAGATGATTTACGCGGTCAAATAACCAATTTAAAAATACAATTAAAACAACGACAAAAAACAATTGAACAAATGAAACATTTTACACAATTGAATAGTAACCATTTAAATAACAATAATCAATTCAAGCCTTCAATACATAAAAATAAACGATGTCATTATCCGCATTTATATGAAATTCAATCTAGACAAATAAATAAGATTAATGATAAGATAAATATGAGAAGAAATGTAAGTTGTTCTCATCTAAGTAATTGTGATTGTCTATTGAAATGAGTCGTTGTTTTTTTGAACTGAATGGTTTAGTTGTGGAGTATTCATTGTTCTTTTTCCGAATGATATTAGAAGAAGAACAATGAAAACTCTACGACTAAATTCATCCAGATCAAAGAATACAATTTCTTTGAAATCATCTTCTTGAGTTATAAATCTTCTCCATGAGCAGTTGTTATTTTTTTTTTAAGTAGTAGGTAATTCATAGCACTTACTTACTTACGTTTGTTACTTCGAATGGAGTATAGGTTGCTGATCAGCATTCTCCAACTCAATCTGCCCTGGGATTTCCTTTCTAGTTCTATCTAATTATTGTTCATTCCTCTCATGTCTGTCTGCCTCCATTTCTCGAAGTAATAGGTTCGTTGGTGTTTCTGTTGTTCTCCTTTGACCTTGGGGATTACCAGTGAGAGCTTAACTTGTGATATAGTTGGGTGATTTCCTCAATGTATGTTCCATCCACTTCCATTGCTTCTTCCTGATTTCTTCCTGCACTGGAATCTGGTTTGTTCCCTCCAACAGTAGGTTGTTGGTGATAGTGTCTGGTCAACGGATCCGAAGTATTTTGCGTAGACAACTGTTAATAAACACCTGTATTTTCTAGATGATGGTTTTCGTAGTTCTCCAAGTTTCTGCCTCATACAGTAGAACTGTCTTGACATTTGTATTGAAAATCCTGACTTTGGTGTTGGTTGACAGACGGTTGTTTTGAGTTTCATATGTTTTTCAGCTGTAGATATATTGCTCTTGCTTCCTAGCACTAATATGACAATATTAAATAAGTGTTTACGTGTATACCCAATATAAGAGAGAGTAACTCAATACACTGATATAATATCAGTCACAAATATTCAATACTTAATATTTAAAATAAACTCATTATCAGAAGAGAAAAAAGATAGGTTATACTTTCAGGTGTTCGCAGTAAGTTTATAAAACCATTGATTAGGAGATTCTTTTAATGTCGTGGTATGGTTGAAGATGGGGAGAGTCAGCTCTGTCTCTCTCTCGCAATGCTCTTTTATGGCCACGCCTATACAGCCTCTGTCAAGAAAGTCCTATTCATTGCATTCCCGCAGTTGGGGCGGTTGTTCATGAAATCGAGAGGACGAAAAGCGAATGTTCGGCGATTTAACCAGGTTTATGGATGCAGAAAATCTATCTAGAGGAGATGGAAAACCCTGATTTCAATCCAATTGTGCACATGGGATTCAGGATCCTGAGAGAACAAGTGATGTATGAACTGGTTGTTGGTCACTGGCTACCATGGGACTGCATCTCCCTGCTTCATTGTCTTGTGCATTAGACGTTTAGGTCAAAGTCTCGGGTAGTGGCCCCCTATGAAAACCATCTACTTCGGTCTGGGCACCCGGACAGTATTCCAGCCCTCACACAAATCGAATGATCTTTCTGGCGCATATGTATTTGATGCCTCCTCGTATCAATGTTTATGCTTTTAAATAAATAAATAAATCTTTTAATGTGAAACAGTATCTTTGTATGAGTATGATGTCAAGTTACTTTGGTTTGTCGCCGTATTGTAACATCATTGATAGAATCAAATCAGCACTAAACGATTGGACAAATATAAAGTTCTACTATTAAAGTTACTACAATCTCTACATACCCCCCTTCGGATAATAATGCACCAAGAAAATGGACGAAGGGTTGCGCAAGATCATGGGTTCATTGAAGTTAAACGTTAACACCTTTCAATGCCGGCTCAGCGCTTTAGAGGTTAAGTGTTTCCAAGCGAGACCGAAAGTACTGGGCTCGAGTCTCACATTTGCGATCGTGATTGGGCACTGCCTAGGAGTTTCAATCTAAGAAAAAACAGCTGTCCAGTGTTTTCAGGTTCTCAATAGTGGTCTTGCTTAGATCGACTCATGAATTCAACTATTAAATTTACAACAGTCTTTATAAACCCCCATTCTGAAAATATAAAATTGATTGTTGGGTCGGCTTCCGGAGAACTTCAACGGAGCCTCCAGAGGCCCAAAAAGGAGCCGAAGGGCCCTAGCTAATCAGAGTATGATGGAACGTTCGAGAATTCCAGCGTGGCGTGCTACCATTGGTCGGTAGCATAATATGACGTTAACGGATTGGCTGAAATATGATGTTGATTTAACAGACGCCAACATCTATAAATACCCTTGATTTTCTGTACTAAAACGAAACCTTGGGATAAAGTGTTTTCTCTCATACTTGTGTCTTCTCTCTGGAGTTCAAGTCGCTGTGCAGTTCTAATCTGCGGGTTACGGGAATAGCTTAGGATTCGTATATAGCGTTCAACCTACACGACTTATCATTGATCACTATTCCGAGCTCAATTAGTTGCAAGTTAATTTTAAAGAGAATAAGATTTTTACAGACGTTTATTAATTTCAGTCCAATGGAATGATTCAGTTAAGTAGTAAGATTGTATCGTTCTAATCGAAATCACTTGTTGTGATGAAATATTTATTTTATCTTGTAAAAAACCTATTCAACGAATGAAATAATACTCTGTACATGTTTGAGATAGCTACGCAACCACTGTCGTGTTAGTTTGACTCATCAACCATGTACATGCTAGTACACTAGGGTTTAGAGTTAAAATTAGTTTTATGATCCTGGAAGTGGAACTAAAGTGAGTGTAGTGAGGTTTACAATTGTACTTCACTGCTTGAGAATTGTATGGTTTCTTTACCAAATCAGTTTCTTAATTGAACGTATAATAGAACATCCCCGTAAGAAAGTTCTGTTTCTCCATCACATCTACTATGACATATGGATACTGACAACATTAAGCACTTATCATCATTTCAGTTATCAATTATTTTACATAAATAAATCCACACAACGTTCTAAGAAAATAAATCAATTGATGAAGTAGTAAAACTTCATGAGTTGAGATGGCTGAGACACGTGTTACGTATGCCCAACCACAAACTGCCCCAACGTGTGATGTTTCATGGTATAGGAGTAGGTTGGAAGAAAGCCAGGGGCGGCCAGACCAAAACATGGCACAAGTGGACTGAGCCATGTTGGTAGGTGTGGAATACCTGGTTGGGATCCGCGAGACGATAGCAACCGATGGTTAGGGACGTTGAATGACATGGCTCAAAATCGTTTGCAATGGCCAGGTGCATCCACTCTTTGTGTTCTCCTAAATTCTAATCTTCTGAAATCTTCATTTCCCTTTTTCCTGTTTCCAAATTTATTTCACTGTATTATACTCCTTGAATAACATCTTCAAACTCTAATGTTTCCGATTACTACTTATACTTTTACTACCTCTACCACTATATGGTTTGAATTGACAATTGTATCTCTGTGCTAATGTAATGTGGTATGGCAACTCGAACTGATTTACGTACATACGAAGTTCTACGTTGTAACTGACTGACTGACTGAAGAAGACAAGTATTACATGTAATGTGTAATGTACAAGTTTGTGATACATTTTAATCTGATCGCATAAATTTAATAGTCGTAATCTGTGTAAAAATAATCACTAAACGATCTAAAATACAATCACCATGATGGTTATCTGTAACAAGGATACTAAAAAACGGAAAAAATATTTTCTACATTCAGTTAAGTAATAAAATAGAAATTGAAGACCTTCAATGTAGGAACAGGGGTAAAGTTTTATGTTTACGGCTTAAACATGTCTTTTTTGTAAAATACTTCCATCAAGTTCAAGTTGACAAGTATGACTTCTATATGAGATCACATGTCGTAAAATTGGAATGATTGAATTGTTTAATTGCTTATCAGTGTTGGATAATAATTCATTCCCATAGATTTATCACGACCGAATACCGAGGTTAGGAATAGGGTACTAAGTAAATATGGAAATTCAATGAATAAGGTAGTGAGTCTTCATCAATTTATGTGATCAAGACATATGTAACTTATGCCTAACCACCGCCTACATTGACGATCTCAATGTTATCTGGTTTCGGAGTAGGCTGGAAGAAAGCTAAGGGCGACCAAACAAAGATATAGCATCAGTTCATGAAATCATTGGCAATTGAACTAAGCCATATAGATAGATGTAAACCATCTGGTTGTGATCCTTGTGATTGTTGTAATCAATAATCTGAGACTTTGAATGTCATGGCCAAGAATCATTTTTAGTGAAGTAGGTACATTAATTCATTGTCTCCCTTTAGAATCTGAGTCCTAAAACCTTATACCTTTTTTTCTCTATCTAATCTTTCCCGCTACTACTGAAACTTTTATTACTCTGATTACACCAGGATTTCTCTTGGATTGATTTTACCTCTCTGTACTTGTATAGTATAACAACTGGAACGGATGCATGTGTATCAGATTCTACACTGTGTATGACTGACTGACTGGCATTCCTTTACCGTGTAAACGGGAAATAATTCTTACGTTAATCATAAAAATGACTGCTTGTCATCATAATTGGTTAGAGTGCAGCAATTTAGTTAGAATATTCCATTTGCTTATTTTATCAACGATTCATTATTTTTGAATATACAGTTTATGGAATAATTTTAATATTCGTTGTTTAAATTCTCTTTAACATTACTTCTTGATATTGACTCTTTCAGAAAATAATCAGTTCAAATGAGCAAAACAATGAAGAAGTTTCCATCAACGATAAAGAATCAATTAGTTTGAAAGAACATAATGCACTCAAAAACTTGTTACAGGTCAGTTTCTGTTGTATAAGTATATCCGCTTAATTTATTTAACATATTAGTTACATTACAAGTACACAGATCCCAGCCATAATAGTCTTCACCCACCAATATGCTTCAGACCAAAATTCAATGACTTTAGAGACTGGTATCATGAATTCGTATAACTACACCTATTTTTCTGCCAACCTATTGAGTTTGTTATCAATGACCATGACTTTGATACTTGAAGGCTTATTATCTGGAGGCAAATGATATGACAAAGTTGTGTAGACCGAAATATGTAGAGTCAGGTATAAACATGCGATCAAGTAGTTTAAAATTGATTACTTTAACCGACGAACTACTCAATCACTACTTAAAATTTTGTTTAGCTAATCAATTTATAGGGAGGGTGATTATGAATACAGTGGTCTTGAGTGCTGTTAGAGGTATGAGGGCGATTATCACTTCCCGGTTGCCCACACCGTAGAAAGGTTCTTCTGGAGGTACCTGAAAAGGAAAGTGGATTAAAGGTGGTCTTAGTGACCTGAGAGTGTGACCGCAGTGCCCAAGAGACAACTGCTTGAAGTTGGTCATACACGACCTTTTTAGTGGGTAATTTTCGTGTTAGCTCCGTACTTGTTGAAACCTTACCGCCGGAGACAGGTATCCGTGGGATAAGGCGAAGTGTGCATTTTTTTAGGGTCAACGACTTATAACCGTACCCCTCCTTGTGGGAAGGCAGCATCACTGTTATGCTGGTTGTCTGGAGGAAACACCTTACTGCTGTCACACCTTTGTACAGTCAGCAGTATGACTTTACCCTCAGACCTTGAGTTTGTTGCTTTTAGTCTTACCGCTCTTCAAGCGACCTATCTGATATGGTAAGACCTTGAGGAACGATTGTTCCATCCAGTATAGCTCGATTGGTTCATCACGATAGGCAAGCTCGACCACCACGTCAAGGTAGCAACAACGGTCCTTGTATGCAATCTTTCTTTTATATATTACCGCCATTGAATTAACTACTTCCATGAATCCGGTGTTCATCTTGTTGTGTTAATGAGGTATGGCAACTTGGACCGATGCACATATGTGCTTGGTCCTATGCTGTAGCTGACTGACTGACGGAACTAATCAATTTAAGAGTCTACTTTACACCAAATAACAGTTGAATGGCATTAAAATAAATAACTTTTCCGTGCAAAAAATGTTTTTTTTTTTCATGTTCTTTTTCTAGAGTCGTATAACTAAACTTGAAATTGAGCTGGAAAAATCACAGGAATCAGTGAAATCTAGAGTAACTTGTGATGCGTCCACCAACACTGATTTCATTGAAAGAACTGATGATTCATATATCAAAATTCTGGAGGTATGATATTACATTAATTTTTATGATTAATATTGTTATTGCCTATAATCAATGTCAGTTGATTGGTCACATTGTTTTAGAGAACCTCAACTATCTTGTCGTATTGGCCCTGGTATCTTCCAGTAAAGGTTTTGATCACATGAACTTCTCAAATCTACCGCTTTTACTACTTCAACTAGTAGTAATAGTAACCAGTAATAAGTAATAATGATAATAATAATACTGTTGCAGTCACTGTACACATCGTACATCCAAATTTTTTTGAGAGTTCAATATGTTTATGATACATTTACTGAATTCCCTATAGAACAAACAGAGGTTACTAAGCTGAGCATTTGTTTGAAAGAAGTTAACACTTTAGGTAAAAGTATACTTTAGGGACGAGGTAATCAGAACCAAGAAATCGACTTTTAAGTTCTTGTTCGAACTACATATATTATGTGTAACGTACAATAGAAATATTTTTGTATACTGCTTAGAATCTTTAATATGATACCAAAAACGTTTTCGCAGACATAGAACAAAACTAATGGTGTTAAAGTGTTCACTGACTAATTCTTTCTATGTAGACTGTAATATGACAGGCAACTTGACACTATGCCAAAATCCTAACCCTAAATCCGTAACTCAGATGGAAATTTTGACTTAGTGACACTTCGCTTTATGGATAAACTATTCATATAGCGTCTTTCATATTTTTGAACGAAACTCGTTTGTTTGTATGACTACAGATCAGTTTTACATGTATCATACTTCTTATCTTAACCTTAAATAATTCACCTCAATTAGAAATAGGGTGGGTACTCTTACCAAACGGGCTTGGGTTTTTATAAGGGTTTGGTAATATGGGTAGTTACTTTTCATTAGTAATAGGTAGAAATTGTGTAGAAGGTGTTCAAAAACAGGTAAACCTCATAGTTGTTGTACCAATGATATCTGTATTCAAGGTGCATATTGATAATAACTGGATTCAGTTTGGTTTTTACTAAATTGCTCTTCAGTGGTATACTCCACCCTAGGTATTTTTGGTGTACACATGCATAGACAGAACCAGATTTCTATCATACATAGTACTCAGAACGTTCTCCTGTGACTTCGTTTTGTCAGTTTAATGAGGTTAATTCTCCCATAAGTCATAAGGATGAGTCTAAAAGTATTAACGGAACTTTTTTTTAACTTCTGAGGAAAATATGAAAGGGAAATGATCTTCCAACAGACGTGCTTTTTTTCATTACGGGGAGGGATTTAATTTCGAAATAAAAAAATTCGTCATTACCACAAAACATTTCTGTAAATTTATCCCAGATTTTGCTGAGCCACTCATTCAGTCATGATCAACGTAGCTCCTGACACTCATGCGTGTTGGCCTATATATGAACATGACGAGCTTAAATTGTTAAGATGAGTAGCAAACGAACAGAAAAGATATGACATAAATCGAATTTCACAGACTGAAATCATGAGTCAACTGAAGCTAGACCATCAGGTTTTCCATGGTGATCTAGCTTCAGTTGACTCATGATTTCAATCTGTGAAATTTCTAAAATCTCCACAAACCCCTTCTGATAAATCGAATTGAATAAGCTTTAATTCGAAAAGACATAATAAAAAAACTACCTATGAATGAATACTAAGACTTATTATCATGAATAATATAGGGAGTGAATGCTTCTGCACTATTGTGATCGATCCTGAGACATTTCATCTAAAATTTCTAAGCACTGATCACGTTAACGTCACAGACTTCAACCAGATAGTCTCTATCCATCAACATGGCTCAGATCAACGGACAGTTAGTTAACTTAATACTGGTGGTTCAAGTAGATCACTGTTATCATAAACATTTTCACATAATACCTATATAGTTTTCAAAGTTTGTTCTTCCACTATTACTATTATTATTACCATTAAACGTCACGTCGTATTTCATGTCTTTTCTTATGCTTATTGATCAAAAAATGTAACGAATTTTCTTTAATGAATGAAAGATACGGTCTAAATATTATACATATTTAAACAGTTTACCAAATTATAAGAGTGTGGAATGGACCCAATCAGTTCTTAATTGGTTAACTGGCTTTTTAATTTTTTGCATCTGGGCTACCTGTTCCTGCCATCTAGATATTTCAACAAGTTATCTATTGTTGTTTGTTTTAATATATCATTATGTTTATTAATCGCATAACCTATTCTGCTGCGTTTCTGAAAAGTGTACAACCTTTCGTTGTCAAAGTTACAGAAAACTCAATAAGAGACAATATGGTTGCTGGCAATGTACAACGAAAAGAATGTACATTATTCAGTTGTTCATTCACTGAAGTGCTAACATCTAACTGGCGATTCCTCAATATTTATCGCCAGGACCGACCAAGAAGAAAGAAACGGAAACTTGTTGAAATACTTTGCGCTGAGAATTCTATATTGTACCAAAATTATAATATTGAATAAAGCTAATAATAATAATAATAATAATAATAATAATAATAATTATTATTATTATTATTATTATTATTATCATTATTATTATTATTATTTCTATTATTATAAAATGCCTTTATAAACTATTCAGTTGAATGATATTTCGTAACTTTTCATCAGTTGTAAAACACATCAAAGTTACAATTAGTTATATTGTTTTAAATAATGTATTACATATCTTAACTAATGAAATTGAATTTGGACTAGCATGGAAGAATAGAGGAAACTGGAAGACAATATAAAATAAGTCATTGTCTTAAGCCCCGTCAAACATCACGTGACTAAGTCGCCAGTCAAAACATCGACCTATACAACCTTGGCATTGTGCCAAATTAATGACGCGTTAACTAGTACAAATAGCCTAGAGACAATTATGAGTGGTTATTGGTTCTTCTCGTCTAGCCCTGTTCGTTTAAGTTCAGAACATAAATATGAGCCTCCAATGTATTTCAGACATATTCAGTTTATATACAAACAAATCAGACCGTATCAAATATCATCAAATAGAAAATAATAATTATGCAAGATCAGATTAAAAGTGACCATGAGTGTGATAGACTGTAATTAATCAATTGGGAATCATTTAAGAATAGTAAATCTTATAATAGTAGTCAATAGGTTAAATGGAAATTTATATATTAATATTTGATTTTAAAATAGGCTGATTTGCTATTGACCTCTTCTGATAATAATCATCTGCTTACTAGTGACTGACTTCAAGAGATACTCCTGGAGTTCTAGTGAGAAGCCGTTACCAGTGGAGTTCAACCAGGTCTGTTGTGAGATATCAGCTCACTGAAAACAATGGTATGCGGTGGCTCAACTTCGTGGATTGGTTGAAATTAGACATTAACACCACTGAATGCCAGCTCAGTGGTCTAGTTGGTTAAGCACCTGGCGCGAGACTGATATGTTCTGGGTTCGGATCTCGCGGGGTGCGGGATCGTGAACGCGCACTGCTGAGGAGTCCCATACTGGGACGGAGCGGCCGTTCAGTGCTTCCAGGTTTTCCATCGTGTTCTAGCTTCAATCGACTCATGATTTCAATCAGTGAAATTTCTAAAATCTCCACAAACCCCTTCTGATTTTTGATAGAACTTCGATAAATGTATCTCATAAGCCAGCCAGTATTTAACGATGTATTATTGATATTCCTGTTTATTTAAAAGGCTTTCTTAAAATATAACTTGCAAATAAACAGTAATATATAGGAATCCTGTAGTCATAAATAGCTGCCAACAGAGTTTGATCAATTTCAGTCCTGAATGTAAACAGTGAGAATTTTATAAATGCTATACTAGTTATTAAGTATCTAGACTCAGTTTCTTACTGAATAATTCGTTAGCGTTCGAAGAGATAAATAATGGTTTTGAGCTTTAACATGAATATATGCGCTGTTAATTAAGAATATTTAGCTAATTGACTCATTTACTAACTGACTCATTTACATCATCAACTCAGTCCTGTAAAGCAGTCAAGATGCAAATACCTCAGTAGTGTAGGGTCATACTCAGCCTTTAAAATTGAATTCGAATCTCATAGTAAATATCAATTTCTTCAAGATCGCGAGTACTATCATGTTTACGAGTCTCAACTTACAAGGGAAGTAGATTTTCCTACTGACTACCTCCAACCACCTAACATATTAAAAACAAATTCTTGTTTTATTCATTACATTCCAGAGGCAATTTAAAAATCAAATTGATACCATTGTGTCCAAACAAACAGAATTAAATCGACTGAAAAGATTAATGACTAATCGAAATAAACATCATCATCCTCATCTTCACCATCATTTGCACAACGGGGATAAAAGTGAATATGATTTGAATTCAAGTCAATATACAAATGAAAACATTCCCTCTTCATTATTGCAAATCGAAGATGGTTCTAATATTGAGTAAGTTAAAACTAGGGATGTATAATATGTACATGCGTGTGTATTATATTGTTTTTCATAAAAAACTTTGTTTTCTGGCTGTTAACAAAAGAAATCACTCATTTTATCATTGATTTCAAAAGTTGAAATCATTAGTCAATCGAAGCTAGACCACCATGGAAAACCTGGAATCACTAAACTGCCGTTTCGTCCTATTTTGAGACTCCTCGGCAGTGCGCATCCACGATCTCGCCTCGCGAGATTCGAGCCAAGGACCTATCAGTTTCGCGCGCGAGCGCTTAACCAACTAGACCACTGAGCCCGGCATCCAACGGTTTCAACAGATTCATGATCTTAACTATTGAAATTACCAAAATCTCCCAAAAAACCCCTTCTGATTTCAAATGTGTTAAACTATAACATGAAAGTATGAATTGATTTGATCGTTTAAGAATCATTTCCGCTTTAAATGTAGTTTCATATGTAATTCGTTGAAACCAAATTTTCTTTAAATATTTTAGAAGTTAAATCCAGTTGTTGAGTGATCAATGCAATACACACTTAAAATGTAATCGTTATGTCAATCAATTTCACACTTCAATGTATTCTATGTGAAATCAGGTGTTCCAAAACAGTCAATAGCATATCCTTAACTAATCTAGTCTCTTTTCATGTTAATAGTCGAATGCTTGTATAGGTATTTTATACCTTTAAAAAAAACTGGTATTTCACCTGAGATTTAAATACATATTATCCGGTGCAATACAAACAAGTCAGTCCTAACAGTTTTAATTATGGTACTCAGTCACACAATCTGAAAATGATCTCAGTTATTTCAACAGTTGAGATCATGAATCAATTGAAGCTAGACCAACATGAAAAACCTGGGAGCAATGGATGGCCGTTTAGTCCTATTGTGGGACTCCTCAGCAGTGCGCATCCACGACCCCACCTCGCGGGATTCGAACTCAGAACCTATCAGTCTCGCCACAGGCGCTTAACCAATTAGACCACTGAGCTGGCCGGCATCCAAAGGCGTTAATGTCTAACTTCAACTAATCCACGAAATTGATCGACACATTCACCATTGTCTTCAGTGAGTTACTACCTCACAACTGACCCGGTTGAATCCCGCGAGACGGGGTCGTGGATGCGCACTGCCGAGGAGTCCCACAATAGGTTTTCAATGTTGGTCTAACACCAATCGATCCATGATCCCAATCAATAAATTAACAATTTGTTTGTTTGTTTTATTTAAAGATAAGTGTTGGGTTCGAGTCTCAATGTGAACAATAACATTAAGATTTCTGTATAATCAGATGATAAGTCCTAAGGAGGCTGAAATGTATGTCTTTAATCTCATTGTATATATATATATATATATATATATATATATATATATATATATATATGTGTATATGTTTACATATTGCTTAAAGTCTTTCTTCTTTTTAATTTTTCTATGTAGAGAATACATGAATGAAATGTATACTAATCCAAATTATTGTACAAATCTTGAAGCAGATTATTGGCGTAATATTGCATTGAAAATGAATAATGAATTAAATCATTTACAAAATGATGCAAATATACTTGTAAATATCTTAACAGAATTACAACAATGAAATGTGATTCATTAAATAATTCATTCATTAATTAGTTTATAAATGATATAATTGTTGATCAAATTAAAGAAAAGAGATTGATTTTGATGAAGTTTTGTTCTCTGAACTAAGTGGTTTAGTCGTGGAGCTTTCATTGTTCTTCGTCTGATGATTGTCGTTCAGAAGAACAATGAAATCTTCACGACTAAACCATCTAGCTCAGAGAATAAAACTTCATCAAAATCATCCATTTGAGCTACAAATCTTCTTCACCATCTCATAAAAGATTGAATTTATCTTAATGATCTTCTCTTTAGTTTTAGTGAATTCAACAAACTGAAGCCTATGCATAGCATGGTTTTCTGAATTTGCAAGAATCAAAATTTAGGATGCAGTTCTAGTCACATTTGAAGCTTTATCACACTGAATACCTATATTGATAGAGTAGCCTAACGTTGATCTAAACTATGGAAAATAAAAATTGTTCTAGTGAGAAGCAGTGACCAGTGGAATTCCACCGTGTGTGTTGTGAGATAGTAACTCACTGCTGACAATGGTGGATGTGTCCATCAATTTCGTGGATTAGTTGAAGTTAGACATTAACACCGTTGGATGCCGGCCAGTTAAGTGGTCTAGTGGTTAAGCGTTAGTGCACGACACTGACAGGTCTTGAGTTCGAAACTCCTTTGTGGGGGATCGTGCATGCGCACTGGCGAGGAGTTCCATGGTGTGACGAAACGGCCATCCATTGCTTCCAGGTTTTCCATGGTGGTGTAGCTTCAATTAACTCATGAATCCAGTTATTAAATTATTACAATCTTCACAAAACTCCTGTTTGAAAATATAAATATTGATTTAAAAAGCCATAATACTTTAATACCGTGTAAAACGCCATAATCTAAAATAAAAACTTGTTTCACAATCCTATGCTTGAATTTCTTAAATCTACTCCCTGTTAACTGATTGTATACTCTTCATATATTGCATATTGATAATAAGTACTACTGTGACAAGACTGATAATCATTACACTGTATATTCCGAGTATATTCCTGTAAAACTTAATATGGTGTCACCATTGACAATGTATTTTGTTTATAATCTATTCCTTCACATGAATAACATTTCTTTGACAAGTGCTCAGTTCATACAATTGCTGATTCATACATTTTACAATTAATTTACATGTTATTAGCATAAATTACACAAACTTGCATTTCTTAAACAAAATACATGAAATGAAAGTTATAAAAGTTCACACTGAAATGAATCAGAGAAGTCATCTTTATCAATATGGATAGATTTCATGTAATTCGAAGATAATCATAGTCATAGGACTTAAATCATTCAAAGAATAAACAAAAACTTACCAATGAAATTGTTCTATTATTAACACTCTGTGTTATAAGTTAAATTATTTTTGACCATTGTTTACATAATCGGTGAAATTGGAGTAATAAATGCTATTGAAGGCTTAATGGATTCAGGTTCAGTCATTGAAGATGTCATGAGTACATTCTTTGGAATCAATCCAAACTAACATGAAATACCTATTCAATGTTATCATATTTTCAAACATTCTCAGTGAAAAATGAATTTAAACTTTACCATATTGTACAATCTAGTGGCTATCTGAATTCAATAGCTAAGTGGATAACGTGATGGCCTTTGAAGTGAGTGGTACCGGGTTTTAGTCCTAGAGTGAAAATTAAGTCTAAAATGCAGATATGTCCAGCTTATGAGTTCAAAATAGGACGAAACGCGCGTCCTGGATTCCACTGCTAGCCACTATTCATCTTTGCTTACAAAGAAGTACTCTGCTTTTCAGTGAGTAGTTACCAATGTCACGTTTATTTCAGTCAATCATTTAGTTACAACGTAGGACCAGGCACATACATGCATCGGTCCAAGTTACCACACCTCATTAGCACAGCAAGACGAAAATCGGATTCATAGAAGCAGTTAACTCAATGGTGTAATGTATAAAGAAAAGATTTTATGTAAGGATATAGTACAGAAATAAAGAATTGGTTCGTAGAAAAAAGATATTAACTAATTTTAATCACATAGTTTAACTGAAGACAAAGAGTGTCTACACCTACGCCATTGTGATCGATTCTGAGCCATGTTACCTAGAGTCTCCAACCATTGGTTACGATAGTTACGCAGAATCCCAAATCACGTTTATTTAGAGTTTAGTATTGATCGATTATTATCTATTTATCAATTATGACACATTCAGCAGAAATAAATAACTTTTAACAGTAAAGACTGAGATTACAATTAATAATAATTTATATTCTGAAAGTAATAATTACAGAATTCACGTCAGTTTACAGGTATGATGAATTTGATATAAGTAGTAACATTAGATGTACAGAACAAACATGTGATAGAAGAAAGTTTTAAGTATACTAGTTCAGTAGTTGTTTAAGTAGTACATATATTACAGCGATCTAATGCATCAACCGGGAATTTTTAATATTTCTTAAATGAACAGCCTGTTGATTTATGAACGGAGTAATTAAGGTCATTTCGTGTTCCAGATCGAATTAATGATAATTATCTACAACTAGAGAAATTAAAACGAAAACAGAGAGCATGGAACAACAAAGCAGTAATCACCAAAATATGCCAATCAGGTCTACCTAAATGCGTGTGTCATGTGACACAGTGATATGCTGTTAAACTTTCTGGGGACGGGATTACCATAAAGTGACAGCAAGTAAGTGGTTTTACTTAAGGAATGCACTAATAAAGATGGCTAAACATTTAAAGTTCCTATAATATCACTTGTGGAATGAGATACACTTACAGGTGCTAGAAAATTCAATGTATTTTCTGAGGAGCAGTATGCAGCGAACAAATAATGAGAGTGATTTTATCATACGGATAGATTGTGGTAGGTTATTTCAGTGTCTAGGAAATTTAGAGGTGAAGTAATTCATATAAAGAGATGATTTAGAATAAGTTTGTTTTGTGGAGATAGTAATTTCAATAGTTGAGATCATGAGTCGATTGAAGCTAGACCACCAATCAGAGACCAGTGGAGTTCCACCGTGTCTGTTGTGAGATAGTAACTCACTGATAACAATGATGGATGTGTTGCTCAATTTCGTGGATTAGTTGAAGTTAGACATTAATACCGTTGGATGCCGGCCGGTTAAGTGGTTAAGCGTTCGCGCGCGAGACTGATAGGTGTTGGGTTTGAATCTCTTTTGTGAGGGATCGTGGATGTGCACTGCTGAGGAGTCCCGTGGTGGGACGAAACAGAGACTCAGTGCTTCCAGGTTTTCCATGGTGTTTTATCTTCAATTGGCTCATGATCTCAACTATTGACAATGATATATACTTAATTGACATTTCTGAATACAAATAAAAACGAATATCTAACTAGTAATGTAGTGAAGGAGAACACAGGTGAGGACAACCGATCATATTTATCACAAATTACAGAATTACTCAATAAAATGTTCATTAATTGTCTAAAACTTGATTATTCCTGCATTTTCATACTAATTACTTTCTGTTACCATTCTTCTCTCCTTGATCATCGTAACCTTTTGCTGCCAAGCATTCTATTCCTCACTAGCGTTATATACTACTTATATCAATATACGTAGCACACATTACAGTAGCAATATCTATTAATGAATGAAATGTAGTCCTAACACAAATGTTTTTTTCCAATGTTGTCATGATATTTAATTACTACAATGTATATATAATATCCAGATATATAAATAGAATCTTCTTTTTTTCCTCGACGATTCATTTATCATCTTTTCATAATTATGTTTTGATCATTGTTACTATCATAGGGGTTGAGAAAAGAGAAGAACTAACACATGATTTCACATTATAATTATCATATTATTTCTGATAACTATTGTTTAGATATTAAAATGAAACAGATGAACACAATGTATAGGGAATTATAAATTAAGCTATTAAGCTCGTGATTAGATTATAATCACAAGGAATATTATTATCATTTTCAATTGAACATACTATACTACAGAGATATTATTAAATTAATTAATTTGGTCTTGTAGTCTGTAACTTGATTATTTAGTTATTTAAAATATATTGTGAACATGATCAATAAAGATGGACTAGTGCAGTGAATTTACTTACCTACGCCTGTTACTCTCAATGAAGCATAGGTCGCCGACTAGCATTCTCCAATCCACTCTGTCCTAAGCCTTCCTTTTCAGTTCTGTCCAACTGTTTTCCATTCCTCTCATGTCTGTCTGTCTCCATTTCTCGACATAATGTGTTCTTTGGTCTTACTCTTCACCTTTGACCTTGAGGATTCAATATGAGGGATTGCCTTGTGACTCAGTTGAGTGATTTCCTCAACGTGTGTACTATCCACTTCCAGCGATTCTTCCTGATTTCTTCCTCCATTGGGATCTGGTCTGTTCTCTCCTATAGTAGGTTGTTGCTGATAGTGTCTGATCAACGGATCCGAAATATTTTGCGTAGACAACTGTTAATAAACACTTGTATCTTCTGGATGATGGTTTTCGTAGTTCTCCAAGTTTCTGCTTCATACAGTAGAACTGTGTTGACATTTGTATTGAAAATTCTGACTTTGGTGTTGGTTGACAGACAGTTGTTTTGAGTTTCAGATGCTCTTCAATTGTAGATATGCTGCTCTTGTTTTACCAATCTGCGCCTCCTCATCTGCATCAGATCCACGGTGTTCAACAACATTCCTGCCCAAATATGTCACGGTATTTACATCTTCCAAATCTTCTCCGTTAAGTGTGATTCGATTGTAGCGTGTTGTGTTGTATTGGAGAATCTTGCATTCCCCTTTGTGTATGTTGAGACCTATTGCTGTTGAGGCTGCTGCTAAACTGGTCTTCTTCTTCTGCATCTGTTGTTGTATGTGCGATAAAAGGGCCAGATCATCTGCGAAGTCTAGATCGTCCAGCTGCATTCTAGCTGTCCACTGTATCCCATGCTTCCTTTCAGATATTATTATTATTAGCTTATTATTATTATTAGCTTTAT